TTAGCCACTATGCTACCAGAGCTCCTAGTAGTGGGATTGCTGGATCATATGGCACTTCTATTTCCAATTCTTTAAGGAAGCACCATACCATTTTTCACTCTGGTTGCACCATTTTACAATCTCAACAACAGTGTAGAAGAGTTCCAGTCGCTCCACATCCACACCAGCATTAGTTGTTTTCTCTTACTTTAAACTACACTATTAATGTTGGAAGGAGCTTTGGTGACGTGGTGCCTAAGGCATTTGACTGCTAACCAGAAGGTTGGTGATTCAAACCACTAGCTACTCCATGGAAGACAATCTACTTTTGAAAAGATTTGCCACCTTGGAAACCCAATGGAGGTTGCTATGAGTCAGAATCAACTTGAAGGCAGTGAGTTTAGTTTTTATGAATGTTGGGATGAGATGATAGCTCATTACTTTGATTGGCATCTCTCTAATGGTTAATAATCATGAGCATTTCTTTATGTGGTTGTTGGTCCCCTTCATGTTTTCTTTGGCGAAGTGTCTATCCATGTCCTCTGCCTATTTTTAATTGGATTGCTTGTCTTTTGTTGTTGGGGTGCTGAAATTTTCTATACATTTCAGAGATTAGTTGCCAGAAACTTTTCCCCAGTCTGCAGGTTCTTTTTTTTTTTTACTCTTCTGGTGAAGTTTTTTCATATGAATGAATGTTTACTTTTTGGGAGGTCTCAATTAACTAGTTTGTCTTCTGCTATTTATTTGTCTTTAGTTATGTTTCCCAGTGTGTTTATGCCTTGTACCAGGGCCCCTAAATTTGCCCTTATTTTTCCTTTGATGATCTTTATGGTTATAGGTTTTACACTTAGAACTTTGATCCACCTTGAGTTAGTTTTTGTATATGGTGAGAGACATAGATCCTGTTTTATTTTTCTGCAAATGCGTATACAGTTTTCCCAGCATCATTTGTTAAAGAGACTATCTCTTTCCCCATTTAGTCCTTGTTCAAAGACCAACTTTCCAAAGGTGGACGGATTTACTTATGGGTTCTGAATTCTGTTGCATCAGTTGGTCTATGTGTCTATCATACAAATGCCAGGCTGTTTTGACTACTGTGGTTGGAGTGTAGATTTTGAGATTGGGAAGTGTCAGGTTTCCTACTTTGTTCTTCTTCTTTAGTAGTGGTTTGCTTATATGGGGTTCCTTTCCTTTCCATATAAAGTTAATGATTAGTTTTTCTATCTCTTTAAAGAACGGTGATGGAATCTGGATCAAGATTGCATTATATCTGTAGATCACTTTGGGTAGTATTGACATTTTCACAATATTAAGTTTTCCTATTCATGGGCATTGTATATTCTTCCATTTATGTAGGTCTCTTCTGTTATCTTGTAGTAGTGTTTTGCAGCTTTCTTTGTATGTATCTTTTCTATTTCTGGTTAGATTTGTTCCTAAGCACGTCATCTTTTGGGTGGCTATTGTAAATGTCTTGATTTCCTTTTCAGAGTTCTCTTTGTTAACGTAGAGGGATTCAAGTCATTTTTGTATGTCAATCTTCTATCCTGATATTTTGCTGAATCCTTCTGTTAGTTCCAATAGTTTTCTTGATGACTTTTTAGGATTTTCTATGTATAGGATCACATTATCTGCAAATAGAGATAGTTTTACTTCTTCTTTGCCAATTTGGATGCCTTTTATTTCCCTTTCTTGCATTATTGCTCTGGCAAGGACTTCCAATACAATATTGAATGGGACCTCTGGTGACATAGTGCCTAAGGCATTTGACTGCTATCCAGAAGGCTGGCGGTTCAAACCCACCAGCCACTCCTTGGAAGGAAGGTTGGGCAATCTACTTCTTTAGTGATACTGCCTTGGAAACCCAAGGAGGGGTCGCTATGAGTCAGATCCAACTCAGCGGCAGTGAGTTTGGTTTTGGTTTGTGCTTGAACAATTTCTCTCAGAAAGATCAGCACAAGGCCGGTCCCCATGAGGCAGAGGTTAAAGATGTCCCAAATGTCCAAACTACTGTGCCACTCCATCATTTCAGACATTAACTCCTCCTCCTCCTCCCAGTAATCTTCCCCATATTAGGGTTCTGTATTTTGCTGTAACACCTCACAGAATTCACAGACACCCAAGGGATTGTCTCACGTAGTAGTGGTGGAGGCTGGCAGGCTGGTGAGTCCCAGGTCCGTGAGTGGTTGTGGAGGATCCTCCCAGTTCTCAGGGTTTGATGAACCTCGATCAGCAGATCAGATGAAGCCTGCTGTCCCAAAGCCAGGGGTGAGATGAGGATGGCCATAACACAGAACTGGAGCAAGAGGAGGGTGAACCTTCTCAGGAGATTCGTAGGTATACCCTCAAGGAAGCTAAGGGTGGTGATTTGAATTATACCCTCCAGCAAGGCAGGACTCAAGATACATTCCACCTGTGTTGCTCCAACAATCAGCAACAATCAGCAGCTCAAGGCAAATCCCACCAGAGCCGATTGCCAGTCATTGTAGGGAACGACTACTACCAGCTGCCCAGCCAAGGTGACACCCAACCTTAACTACCACACCACCCCAAACAGGCATGGATAACAGGATTTACAACACATCACAGAATGGAGGACAATGGCTGGAAGGACCACATCAGGCAATTCACTGCAGTTTGGTTTGTTGATAAAGGACATCTTTATTTAGTTTCTGTTCACAAGGGGAATGCTTCCAGTCTCTCTCCATTTAATATAATATTGACCATTGGTTTTGTGTGTATTTTGAGAAATTTCCATTTTGTTCCCATTTTGCTGAGCATTTTTTTTTACCATGAATGGGTGTTGGATTTTGTCAGATGCCTTTTCTGCATTGATTGACATGATTTTGTGGTTTTTTTTTCCTTTTATTTATGTGGTGGACTTTGTTGATTGTCTTTCTAAAGTAGAACCATTCTTGCATGTCTGGTATGAACTCCACAAGGTTACAATTATTTATTTTTAATATGTTTTATTATGTTGTTGTTGTTAGGTGCTGTTGAGTCAGTTCTGACTCATAACGACTCTATGTACAACAGAATGAACCACTACCCAGTCCTACACCATGCTCATAATATTGCTATGCTTGAACCCATTCTTGCAGCCACTGTGTCAATCTATCTCATTGAGTGTCTTCCCCTTTTTCATTGACCCTCTACCAAGCTTGATGTCCTTCTCCAGGGACTTGTCCCTCTGACAACATGACCAAAGTATGTGAGACAAAGTCTGGCCATTCTCACTTCTAAGATGCATTCTGACTGTACTTCTGAGACAGAGTCATTCATTCTTATGGCAGTCCATGGTGTTTTCAGTATTCTTCACCAACACCACAATTCAAGTACATCAATTCTTCTTTGATTTTCCTTGATCATTGTCCAGTTTTCACATGTGTGCGGCTTCCCACATGTGAAAATTCTATAGCTTAGGTCAGTTGCAAATTAGTTTTCAAAGTGACGTCCTTGCTTCTATAATACTTTAAAGAGATCTTTTACAACAGATTTGCCTAGTGCAATACATTTTATGATTTCTTGACTGCCGGATAGGGTTTAGTTGAGAATGTTTGCATCACCATTCATTAGGGCTATTAGTTGTCATTTTATTTTTTAAGTAGTGTCTTTGCTTGGTTTTGCTATGAGAGTTATGCTTGCTTTATAGAATGAGTTTGGAAGTATTCCATCATTTTCTATGTTCTGGAATAGTTTGAGTAGGGTTGGTTTCAAATCTTCTCTGAATGTTTGGTAGAATTTACCAGTGAAGCTGTCTGGGCAAGGACCTTTGCTGTTGGGATTTTTTTTTTTTTTTTTTTTAATGACCTGTTCAATTTCTTCTTTTGGGACAAGTCTCTTCAAATTTT